GCTCCAAGTGCCACCTCTGGCAGGCGTGCCATAGGTTCGCCACCATTGGCCTATAGTAACCGGGGTTCTTTAGCTTAGAATGAAGAAGAGTAAAGGAAACATGATAAAGGCCCATAAAATTATGTACCATTCCATAACGAAGAACCTTTACTTGCTCTCTCTCACAATGCTAGAACTTGAGGCCATCCACTGCAACTAAATGCAGGGAGATTCAGGACTAAGAAGTATTGTTTCACATAGCTTATACTATGGAGTTTGCTGCCAGCAGCTATGGTAAAAATAGAGAATTGCAATAGGCTTAAACTGGTTTGTCCAAATTAATGAAAGATCAAGCAATCCAAAGCTATTACGGCAGAGAAGGGTTTACTGTCCAGGGGGAAACCAGATTCACTTAACTGTTGTATTACTAACTTTAATTGCAGTAACTCATTTAATAACTGTGGCAAGAAAAGTTGTAAAATGACGCAAAACTCATTTAACTGTCTTGCTTAGCAAATGGAAATTTTGGGCTCAATTGTGGTCGTTAAGTCGAGGACTACATGTATTGTCGTAGAAAATACGGCATGGAAAATATGATAATCCGGCCTTTAAAGGAAATAGTTACATGTTTTTACTACAAACACAGCTTGGAAACCTGCTTAAAGATACAGAAATAACTTTGTGATAGCAAGCATTAAAACAAAACCACAACTTAAGATGCTGAATTAAGACACAGGAGACTCAAGTTCAACTCCATCTGCAGCCATGAAAACTTGGCATGTGACTTTATGACAATCATTCTGCCTTAGCAGAATTCTCTGTCATGACAACAGTGGGAGAATGTAAAAGAAAGAGTTTAATAGCAAGCTCCTTCTTTTACATTCTCCCACTATTCTCATGACCAATACTGGATTCAAATGCCATTAAACTTTTTCAATGGGGCTGCTGAGAATTGCAATCTCAATGGTTAGAAAAACAGCAAAATAGCTCGGGGAACTCTAAGACCGGGGTCACCAACCCCTGGTTTGTGGACTGGCACTAATCTGCGCATGCCAAAACCCAGGCCACATTAACAAGCGAAGCCCCATCTGTGGGGTGTAGGCAGCATACGAAACCATGTCCCCTACGGTGTGCTGAAAAACCTCTCTTCACGTAACTGGTCCCTGGTGCCCAAAAGGTTGAGGGGGGCGCTGCTCTAGGAAACAGAATCCCACAAAGCAACATTACAGAAAATATTTTATTTCTACAACCTGCAAAGTAAATATTTTAACAGCACATTAATATTTATTGGGTTTCTACACAGAATACAAAGTTAAACCCACAAGTCAAGTTTAGCTCTTAATGAGTCGAAGGAGTTTTCTTGATGGTCATTATGGAACTGACTTGTCACTATCTTCTTTTCTGGGATATTTTTTTCTAACTTTCCAAGCTAGTCTAGACCTTTAACATTCCAGATGACCCAAGTACAAAGCAAGATGATATTGCCCACTATCAAACTTGCACAAGTCTGCAAATCAATCACTCAATTTTTTCTTATTTTACACCACCTTTCATCGACTGAGGGGTCTTCTTTCAACATTTAGATTGGATTGCAAATAGTCAACCTAATCTGGGGGATAAGGAGATAAAAGAGTTTATTCCAGAATTTTAAAAAATGGCAAAAATTTAAAAAAAAAAACCTTGGGGAAGACAACTCACTTTTGATGGTGCCTGAACAGACTAGGGAACAATACAATCATGGACACAAAATACCAACCTCAAGCACAGTGATGTGTCATATTCTATGCTGGAGATAAATAGGCAAGAGAGTGATATATATTTGGATAAAATCTTTTTGATACTGGTTGTTATATTTTTATTCTCCCATTTAAAATACTGTATAGTACTTTTCCTACATCTCAGAAAAGGTGGAATTGCAAAAGATACATGTTACTACTAAGATAATCCAAAAGTAGAATGTCCTCTGTAAACAAAGATAGTATTTAGGCCTTTTCAATTTAGAAAAAAAATGCAATATTAATGAAATAGATTTTGTCTCCTCTACCAATCAGACTTACTCAAAGAAGTTAGATAATAGGCAAGAATAAAGATGCACTAGTGTATTTTAGACACTTTTATTTAACATTTGGAATTTACTAAATAAAAATGAATTGATTTGCTGATTTTTGATGATCAGTCTAAATTTGATGATTAGCAAGTAACCACAACACTTTCACTTTAATGTGTCTCAACAAAGAGAATTTAACACTTCTAAGCAGACCAACCAAAAATGCAATAAACATGTTAATTTTTAAAATGCCACTTGATTATGAGTCAGAAGCAGGCAGCTCTGGGGGAGAAGGTGACATAACTTGGAATTACAAAGACAGGTAAGCACACTTATCCAATATTTTAAAGACAGATTGGCTGCCACAATCAGCACATTGGGATATAAGACATCGCCTTAATAGAAGTTAAACTTGGCCCCTGCCATCGCTTTCTTCTACCATACTGGATTAATTTGTGGGGGCCAAACTCCATGTTGCAAATGAAGGCTAGACATTAGTGCTCTATTGAATGCCACTTCTCAGTTTATTTTTATTACAGGAATATTTTAAAAATGTTGGGGAAAGAGCTGGTGAGCATCAAGCAAAGTTTCTTGCTTTTCTCTCACATTTCTGAGACATTACTTTACTTTACTATAGACAACAAAAGAGCAAGACATAACCATAAATTTGCATGCTCTTTTCAATAGACTTATCTTATAGACCAGTGGTGGCGAACCTATGGCACGCATTCCAGAGGTGGCACTCAGAATCCTCTCTGTGGGCATGCACGCCATGCCCCAGAGATGGCAACCGTCTCTCTTCAACCAGCCACCGCTAACTCGCCGAGGTCCCACATGGCTGGATGCATCCCAGTACCCATGCGCTCGCTGGCCTCTGTGTACAGGGGCTGATGGTGTCAGGCAATAGCCGCCCCGGCTTCATCTTGCCCTGTGACAATGGCACCCCCTCCCTGCCTCACCTTGCCTCGCCTCTCCCCGCAGGATGAGCCTCCTGCCCACCACCCCACCTGCCAGAGATCCCCTGGATCTCCCCCAACCCTGCCCGGCCCCCACAGGCATCCCTCCCCATGAGCAACATTGAGGTGATCACGCTCACCTTGGCCACACCCACCCAATCTGCCATGACCACCCACCCAATCTGCCATGACCACCACCACCATGGCACCCGGCAATAAATAAGTGGGTTTTGGGTTGCAGTTTGGGCACTTGGTCTCTAAAAGGTTCGCCATCACTGTTATAGACCAACTTCAAAACCAACTTATTTCTTTAAAACTATAATGCCAAAGTCTAGAATATTATGCAAGCACATCTAAAGTACGGTAGTTCTATTTTCAACATTAAAAAAAATTACTGAAAATTAATTGCAATTTAGGATCCAAAGGTGATGCTGGATGACAGCTAATAAATATAGCACTTATAATCTCTCCCCAGATATGCTAGAAGGTTGGTGAAGTAAGAGAAATATATTTGAGCTTTGCAAAGGCATGTTCATTTTTCTAATCAATAGTTTGCCATTTCTGAATGTGTTTCCTACACTTAAATATAAAAGCTCCAAAATAAAATCCATCAACCAATGACTAGCTTCTCCAATGGAGTCCAAGAAAAGCAATGTATGAGGGGTCCTTGGTGACCTCTTAACTTGTTTTCTTGCAGACGTTTCATTACCCAAGCTTGGTAACATCATTAGTGATAGTGATGTTGTCTAGCACTGATGTTACCTGGTTTGGGTAATGAAACGTCTGCAAGAAAACAACCACACTCAGAGAGCAAAAAGGACCCCTCATTTTAACCCTGAGCTACAAATATGCTCCTTTATTGAAAGCAATACATAATACAGAACTTATTTTTCCTTGCAAAAAAGTAATGGATTTTTCAACTGGACATTTGTCATTACCATATATATATAAAGTGTAAATTAGTTACACTAGAAAGCCAAATCAGTTTCTCTAACATTCTCAACGTGAGGCAATCATATTTGTAATGTGTTTGTTTTTTTTCAAAAAAAACCAAATACACTGAAGCCAAAGTGTTGACAAGTTTGTAGTATTCTATGGCCTATATAATATCCAAACTCTTCTATCCATAAACACACTTCCACAAAGCAGCAATTTCAAGCTAATCTATCTAATAGAAACTCAGCCTGCACTATGATTCAGCCTGAGCTTTATGATCTTCATTAAGGCCCTTTTATATGCCCTGCCAATAATCCAAATATATTTCATGGAAATATAACAGGAATCCTCCCAGAGCTGTATGTTGGCTATACAATTTGCAGAAAAACATTTACCAAGTTCTTAGCAGGGTGGTAGCATATTTTCTGTTTACCTTGTCTGCATATACAACATTTTAACCATAATGCCTACTGCGTTTGTTTTACTTTACATGTTAAAGCAATACCAACAATAAAGGTCAATAAAAGCCAGTATCAATAATACATTTAGGATGAAAACAACCTACCTTTCCAGAACTGTAACAAACTGATTTTGGAGTGATTTTCCAAAAAACAGTTAAGTATGATGCTAAAAGAAATTTAGAGGCTTGTGATATGAATAAGAGTATTTCAGTTTTATTATGGGCTTGGTTATACTATACTGAATTGCATTTTTAATTTACACAACACACTTGTCAGGCATATTTAATAATTTCTTTTAATATAGACAGGTTATAAAACAATACCTGTAACTTCTTTTCATGTTTCTCAGATCATAAATATTGTTATTTATTGTAGGAAAGCAGAGAGACCTTTAGAATGTCTAATGGATGTTTTTAGACATGCGGTCTATGCCACTAATTAGTAGAGCATCCAAAATAGCACTTCCTATCATTGGGGTTCAAGAAAATAGCAAAGGAATATATTTCATATAATACTTGCAAATGAATAGCAGATATAAACTATTAATTTGATCCAACTGTGATTTTAAGACTCAAGGAAAACAAACTAGTTACAGAAATGATAACAGTGCTTGCCTCCTACCTTTTAATTGGTTATGTTTGCAGATTCAAGATTGGAAGTGAGTGGTACATACAGAAATGCAAGTCAGTCTCAAATATCCTGCTCAGAGTTGTAACTGGAGCATATGGAACGTTCTGCTATTAAATGAACAAACAAATCAGATTATTAGTCTAGTTTGTTTTTTAAAAGAAAATTATTAATACAGGGGCCACACTGGTTACAGTAAAGTAAACCCTCTGCAAATACACACAGCAAGCAGTTCTTCTGTAAAACCACCATATGGTACACAATTCAACTGCAACATCAATTAATTCTACAATTCTTAAGTTTGGGAGTCAAGTTCAACCAAACTTAGCTCCCAAGAAAATGTAAGATTCCTGACCAAAGCACACATTTTGATCCAACTATTAATTTCTCATTTATTTTCTTAGCCAGAATTTCAGTTTGTCTTTTATGTTTTCTTCTTTTTATTAGAGTTGAGCAAGAAACCAAACAACATCCAACACAGCAATACAGAGCTTTATTACACTGAAATCTAAAGCTTTCAAAGTTCAAGTATATTGATGAGCATCTGAATGATTTCTTGAGAATAGCATGAAAACATTTATGTACAGAACAGAACAGGAGGTGCTACTCAAACTGATTTAAAAGTCACAAAATAGAATTTTAACATTCTACATATTAAAATACTTCTCTCCAAGCATGTACATATAAGAATGCAACTTTACTGAAGCAAACTTTTGGGCCTAAGCTATTCTTATTTCAGAAAAAGAGCTGTTTTAAACCATGACACTGATGTTCATGGCTGTGTGGCTTCTTGGGAGGGGAGCAAAATTGAAGTAAAAAGGTAGTTTGAACAGTTCAGTTGACCACAGACTTTGGTAGGAAGTAAGGTGTATTTAGAATATTTTTTTTTTACTAGAGTTCGGTGATAGATTTGAAAGCACCAGATGTCATACATGACTTAGACAAATGTGAATCTAATATTCCATCATTTGGGATGCAACTGAGAAGCTATATAAAATAAGTATATAATTTAAACTTGAGTATGTATGACAATTTAAAAGTTAAAATCATTCGTCTACTAAAAAATCTCCAGTTAAGTTTGATTAAATTCAGAAATAAAACATTTTGGAAGCAAACATTAGCACTTTACAAAATCCTCACATACATCAATCTTTGAGATGTTATAGATGCCTTCCCCAACTTGTCACAATCCAGATGTACAGGGATTACACTCCCAAAATTACCTGCCAAAGCAGCTATTTGTAAAAGACAGAACTTCATTTATACAGATGTTTTTAGAACAGGCATCTTTCAGCCTTTCCCATTATATTCACTGATATACCTTTTCACAATAACACCTAGCATAATACTATGTGGGATTCTGCAATACTTCTTAACACGTTTAATCTTAACACCAATTATAACTTTCACAAGCTCAAGTGTTAAACTGCTTTTAACACCTCTACAATGCTGTACTTGATATGACAAGGGAAAGGAGACAGCAGTGGAATGAGGGGTTATCTTGGTATTTAAGAAAAAAATACCATCTTGGAAAAAACCAAGCAACATACAGAAATACCTTTTAATCATCTAGCCCAGTGGTACTCAACCTTTTTAATGCCACGACCCCCAACCGGTCGTAAGTCAAGGACTACTCAACTGGTCGTAAGTTGGGGACTACTCAACTGGTGCAGCACCATTTGCAGAATGGGACTTTTGGCGGGCTCAGCAGGGCAGAGACAGCCTGGACAATTCCTATTAGCTTTTGAAAGCCAATAGAATTAGACTCTATTCAAGAGAGTCTATTCTATTGGCTTTCAAAAGCCAATAGAATAAAAGGAAGTAGCACAGCTAAGGAAAAGGGGGAAAAAATGGTGGACTGTGTTGTTTGGCAACCCCCGTGAAATGGTCGTTCGACCCCAAATGGGGTCCCAACCCACAGGTTGAGAACCACTGATCTAGCCACTTCTAGAACTACTTCAGTTTCATATCAGATACATAAGCTTCCATGATCCATCTAAAGTTGCTCACCCAACAGACCCTACAACATTACGAAAAGGTAAAAAGGACCATCCCAATTTCTGGAAAGGTAAACATTATATCTATGACTTTTATAAGTTTTAAGAATGCCCACAAACAAGGATTTAGGTGTCAGCAGAGATATTTACTTACACCTCCCAAAATAATGTACTCTTTTTAAAAAGTCCCCCAGCAAATATTCCAGAGAAATTTTAACAGTAATGGAATAAGTGCACAGCTAAAATACAGGAAACATAGGCTCTAAAAAGCATCTGTACATGGACTGATGTTAATTTGCTCATAAATGGCCTATACCAGAAGAGTATAAGTTTTCCAGTGACATCCTATTATTTAAAGTAGTTAAAAACAAAGGGGGGGGGAGCACAGAAGAGCTATAAAATGTTCTTTACAAATGGAGGAATGCCAGTAAAATTATAGTTCAAGGAAAGAGAGGAAACACATCAGGTAAAAAAATGTAACACTTCACACATGATTTGATGGGTTCCAAGCTTCTATTGATAAGCAACAGAAGGAACATTAGAAGGATGGATTCAGAAAGTTAAAATACTCAGTTAAAATCTTAAATAGTGGTGTTAATTGCTAAGTAATGAATTAAAAAGTTTGTGGCAACTGGCTGTTACAAAAACCGATTTTTAAAGTGTTCTTACAATTGTCAGCTCAATACTAGTTTTATCTACTTTTGATCACATCCCTAGAAAAATAAAACTCTGTAAGTCTCTATTCCAAGTCTCAAAGATTTTAGCTAGGTACAATAAACCAAATTTTCTGCCATTATGATGATATTAGCAATTGCCATGTGAACTTGAAAAGCATTTTTGATGGTTATTAAAAAAACAAAGGTGGTATTCCCAAATGGTTCAACTAGAAAGAAATTCTAAATACTGTAAAAATGGATTGTGGTCTTAGTAGGAACACACCACCTAGAAAAAAACAGAAACCAAAGCATCAGAGTCGGGATAATTTTCTTCTTTCCCCATCTTCCACCATGTAAACTAACTATAATCTGTTTAGACAGAGACCTATTTACATCAGCAAAACACCATCCACCTTTACTGAGTACTAAGTAATAATCACCTCTTTAGTAGGCCTGCAAAACTAAGTTCTAAAACAGTGGTTGTCAACCTGTGGGTCGGGACCCCATTTGGGGTCGAACGACCATTTCATGGGCGTTGCCAAACAACGCAGTCCACCATTTTTCCCCCCTTTTCCTTAGCTGTGCTACTCCCTTTTATGCTATTGGCTTTTGAAAGCCAATAGAATAGACTCTCTTGAATAGAGTCTAATTCTATTGACTTTCAAAAGCCAATAGGAATTGTCCAGGCTGTCTCTGCCCTGCTGAGCCCGCCAAAAGTCCCATTCTACAAATGGTGCTGCACCAGTTGAGTAGTCCTCGACTTACGACCGGTTGAGTAATCCTCAACTTACGACCGGTTGGGGGGTCGCGGCATTAAAAAGGTTGAGAACCACTGTTCTAAAATGTAACAAACTGTATTACTTATGATCAAAACACCTTTTTAAATCTATATTTATCTACATTAGTCCTATAAAAGACTAGTAGTTCTCTTTAGCAAGATTTTGATTGCAAAGTGGAAAAGCTTCCACTAAGCCAGCTTATATTATCTTAATTATATTCTTCTTTAAAGAGAAGGACTTCAATAACATTTCTGCAGGTCCTATAAACCAATTTGACCAATTGCTAACAGTTATAATCCCTCTGCTGGAATTAGTTTCAATGTGATTATTTGCAATTAAATACAACATATGCAGAACTGTTTTCAAGCATTTTTTAACCTACAAATAAGAGAACATGTTTGGAATCCCCAAAATATTTGTAATGCTTCATGGCTCACCAGCTCCCCCACCATTCCTGGGCTGACAGTGCAATTCTAATCATGTTTACCAAGAATAAAGTCCTGCTGAGTTCAATGGGGCTTATTCCAAATATGCATTCTTCAAATTGCAGTCCAAATCTCAGCAGCCCTTGCTAAAAATCAGCCGAATCAAGCAAGGCAACTCTATGTCTACAGTTGCTTTCTATGTGTATAATTTGGCACATAATATAGAAACACAGCTCTAGTTGTAATCCATTAGATGTTGGAATCCCCACAATTTGACAACAAAGCCTGCTGAGCTAGTAACATAGGCTGATCTTCAAATACTGGCAGCATTTTCAAGTTCTTTTCTCTACAGAAAAAGGATAAAATCCACCTGCTGCATTCTTTCACATCCCTTTTATTTGGTATTTTATTTCACACACTCAGTTACTTTTTTAAGAAAAAAATTTAAGAGAGGCTTATGCTTTCTAAAAAGTGTTTCCTATTCTTCTTTGAAATAATGTCATCAGAGTCACAAGTTTTAACTTAAAGTAATGTGGAACATAATCCATCCAGTGCATGGAACACTATAATCTAGATATTAACTTTCAAAAACCAAATTCAAAATGCATATTTTGAGATTATATTCCTTCATATATACATAATTAAACCCAAAAAGGAAGATTCAGTACCTAGACATTTAAGCAACAAGCATTAAAAAAAAACCTGCTAGAGATATAATCTTCACATTTAAAAGATTGAAATATTTAGCTCAAACTAAAATACTGAGAAATTCCATTTATGTGCATTAACATGAAAGCAAGACTATCAAATATACTTTCTCCCACCAGCACAGATCAGCAAAGAGTGAAAAAATCAGCAGCAGATAAGCAGCGAAGCATCATTTTATCTGCATGCTTTATTTTAGCAAAGTGATGGATAGTACAGAATGTGTGGCTAACTGCTGGGAATAATTGCTCTGAGAAGAAACCACATCTAAATAAAATATAAACAAAACTATCATTAGCTGATGGCTTGGTAAGCATTTAGGTGTGACAAAAAGCCTTTGACTTATCAGTCAACATACAGTATTCTTGCTCAGAGCCAAACATTAGCAAGAAAACAGACAAATAAGAAAGAAAGGAATCTCACAATTCATCTGGTAATTAAATGTTGGGGGGCTATACTTCACTGCAAAGAAATGGAATGAATGTTCATCCAGAAACCACAACCTAATAATAAATATATATAGAATGTAAAACGTGACATATTTTTTT